AATCTGAAATTAATACTTTTTTCTAATAAATGACATGTCACTTTTTAAAATGACTGAGTTGATTTAAAAATATATAAACAACACTACGATTCTGACATTTTGCCGCTAACTGTTATGCTGTGCAGTGACTATCCACGCTTTACATTCATGATCATTAGTTTTGTCAACTGTGATTGGATGGATATATTTACCTTAGCCAATGAAAATTGACGTTTTGAAAGGCTTGTAAAAATTTTGTTGACGTTTCTTTTATTTTTTCAGTGACTATAAATAAGCTATCGGCGGGAGAAACAAAAATAAAACTTGAAGAAGAGACTTTTATTTTTATTTCATTTTTGCCCAAATTAGGGTCTGCGCTCCCGTAAAACAGTAAATAAAAAAATGTTGGCCTTACTATTAAATGGCCACGAGTGCCGAGTATCGGTATAAGCTTAGTTGGACATGAATAAAATATACTCTGTTTTTTAACTACTTATGTATGCATCTTGCGACATAACACTCCAGGGCTTTCTTCGGCATCGGGCGACATAACACTCCAGGGCTTTCCAGTCACCTTGGAGCACATATCTGGTATGCTGCCCTCGAAGCCCTGTAATACATGTATAATGTTGAGTAATGCTGCCTCTTCTAAAATTGTGAATTTCATGGCCTCAGTGTCAGGGGTTCTTGTGTTGAGTGGGGCTCTAGTGATTATACATGTGTATAGTGAAAATGCAAAAATTCTTTAACAATTTTCTCCTCTGCTCCTGGTACATGTATTAAACCAATGAACTATGTACATAGATATGATGTTCAAACTTTTGAATTTCAGGGTCCCAGAGTCAGTGATTCTGGTGTTAGGACGGGGCTCTAATAAATATATAGTGAAAATGCATGCATTATTTAGTGAAAATTCCTGCATTATTCAAATATGCTTTCTTTTGTTCCAGGGTTTTATGCCAATGATCTAAGTACATATTTATGATGAAGAAAGTTGCCTCTTCCAAAATGGTCAATTTCAGGGCCCCTTGGTCAGGGGTACTGGAATGGGGATGTTTGGTGGGTACAGAGTCTGAAATAAATTAATGCTTTGACATCTGCTCTTTGGTATTAATCAACCATTTATGATGAAATAAAATTAATGTTAAAATTTCCAAATTTTGAAATATGAGGCCCCACGGTCAGTGGTTCCTGTGGGGTTGGTTGCACAACTGGTGGTTATAAAGTGGAAATGCATTAAATTTTTTCTCTTTGGTACTCTGATCTACCTCTGGATATTAAGTAACCATGCTGAGTGTATATTTTGTTAAACAATGGTGCCGCTTTCATGGCTTTTGTTTAATATACGAACCAAAGTCAATTGTTGGAGAGTTGTTACATGATACTCAGGTGACCTATAAGGCCTGTGGGCCTCTTGTTTATGTTGAAAATTAAGCCCTTGAGGACTCATAGGTCATAAGTTTATGTTTCTGACTTTCCATGGGACAAGTTGGGAAAACATTGAAAATACACTCATTGTTTTTTTACTCATGAAAATCTCTTTTTAAAAGAGCAAAAGTTTGCATGATATTAATTAGCACTCGTACTTAATCCCTTGGCCAATGATCCTTACCCTAGGATGGAGTAAAATTGATAAAAATTATTGAAATATGTCTTAATTACTCATTTCTCTTGGGCAACCAACATTTAGCTGTTATTATAGTCATATTGAGCAGATATTTATAGATTAACCTGCTAACCCAATTTTTAAATGCTACACCTAGTATATTTTGTTTTTGACAAGTTCAAGATTCATTCCTTTGAATATAACATTGTGAAAAAAAGTTTGTGATTTTTTTACTTATACAATTTTATATTTAAGAACAAACCAGCTTGAGAATTTGGGAGAAAAATATACGTATATTTTAAAATGTGTTCGAGAATCAAGTTTAAATTTCTTTGTTGCAAAATTTATAGAATGATCTCTTCACAAAAATTCTTTTTAACACAGAAAATAATATTTAAAATTTTGCGTGAGTATTATGTAACAATCAAGACATCATGCAGGTCTATTAGCGAAGACATTGTAATTAATAAAATTTCTAATAACAAACTTATTTTTATCCTTTTTGACACGAACCAACATAAATTATATAGATAAAAAGTCAAATAAATCAGCAGCTTAACAATTACCAACGGACATAAATTACTCCAGAACAATGATGTTGGAGCAAGCTGTGATAATTACATGTGTCAGGAGCGGCCATTTAATCTCACGCGTAGTTGAATGATCACCGCACCTTTTTCTGATGCATATTAGCCTAAAAAAACCTCAAACTAGTAAAAAAAAAAGTAGAGACAATTATGTATCCAAATGCTCTTGTCAATGCAGTTAATTTATATCAAACGAAAACAACTCTAAGAAACTCTTAACGAACCAAACTTTACATTCAAAATTTTCACTGGTTGCGAATGATTTGGTTTATCTGACACAAAGTCAATCAATCATTCTATTCAAATTGAAATTACATCTTGGGCAGACTTGATATGCCACCGTTGGTACTATTGTTCTGTTTGTTCACATACCAGTTGAATTTTGAAAAGAGGGGGCCCGACCAGTTTGAGGTCAAGGTAGGGGCCTACAGTCACACATGAAAACATTGATTTATCAAATACTGTGGGGTTTTTTTTGGGGGGGGACACAAAAAGGAGGGGGTGGGGCTGGGCCCCCTGCTCTAAATCCGCCCAATGATAATTCATATATAGAGGGAGATGGAGATTTGGTTGCGCTCCCATTTTGAAGATTCATAAAACATGCTTTTGCTGCTTCATAACTAACGCTCCTGTAATTTGTTTGTAAAAAAATATACATGGGTAATTTACTAATGAAGTGAATTGTGCCACTAGAGGCTCTATCTTGTCACAGCACTTTGTTAATAGGACTGTCAAGGATACAGAAGTGGAGAGGTTTGTTAAATACATAAGGGTTAGATACGCACGATGCTTTTTTTTTTTTAAATATTTGTCAATGTTTATTTTATATTTTGCTATTTTACTGTAATTTAATATGCACTTTAAAAATGTATTCAAAAACATTTATTTATTTCTTTTATTTTAAAGTAGGAATTGAACCCCAAATTCCCACTTTTAATCCATAAGTGCTTCTTAAAATGTCACTGTGTTCATTTGTAAATATTTGAGATACATGTATTAAAATAATTCGCTGTACACATTTATGCCTTATTTGTCTTTGTTGTGAAATCTTAGTAAATATCTTAACCTTCCTAATTTAAAAAAAATGCATGTACAGTAGATATACTGTACATATGCAGACATCCAAATAATTTGAAATTATTTATCCAAAGTACCTGTATGACAGAACCGTGAGTGAGGCTGATGCTTAATAACAATATTTCAGAATTTCTTACTAGATAATAAATTAAGTCCCGATCAAAATAGAAATAATGTAATTGAAAAATTATTCATGTTTGCTAATAAATCACAATTAGCGTACAAAATAATTAATATACAATGTACAAAAAAAATGTCTCCTTATTTTTTTAATGTCGACATTAATATTTTATTTGAATTCGTAAATTCAGAATATGTTACAAAATCCATTGTTTTTGAAAAAAACATATATCCATATAGGATTTTTTGGTAGATTGTTAAACGTCCGTTTTGATCACTTATTACAAACTACGTTCTTGCTTCAGTGAATTAAATATTAATGAAAACACGTGACTTAACCTCATATGACGTCAAGAAATGGACTTGTAATTGATGTTCGAGTGTGTGCTCATTGTATCTGACTGCAATAACCTAGTATTCAAATCGTTTTTTCTTTAATCGCATGGATTTAAACAAAACCGTCATCAACATAAAGTCAAGTAAATGACATGTGGCTAAGTCAACATTAATTAAGAAAACTATTTCTGTATAAAAATTCACGAAAGGTCAAAATGGCAGTAAAATTATTCCGAATAGACTGAAGTTCGTATTCTATAAAAACTCTATATTATTTGATTGAATAACATTTCCCTTTTTAATCAAATTAAGATAACTTATATTCAAACAAAATTACTATTTATATAGAATAGAATTTATAATGTATATCTTTAAAAGAGAGATTTAACAAGAACCAAAAAAATATATATGTGTTTAGGAAATTAGATTGTCAAGATGATTTAGAGGATAGTAAAATCAAGGATTTAATTTGAATCGATTCTGATGTAATCTAAACAGAGCTGCAGCGAAGCAATATTTTAAAAACATCTCTGAAATGATAAGAAATATGTAAAAAGTAGTAAAATGCGGAATATACACAAGCTCTCTTTAAGTATTATTACATGATTTTAGCCACTTCCGAGTTCAGATACTCAAATCAAGACTTGGAATAAAATGCAATACATAGTACTTTTTTATTTAGATGTACAGAAACTTTCGTCATTTCTAATCGTCTTCTTGTTCACTTTCAAAAACAGCTGCGTGAAATGTTGACTTAAAATAACTTACATGGTTAACATTCTTAAATGTTATTGATCACTTATCAATAAAAAGAGATATTTTTTTTCAAAATATATTTTTTGTCTTGATTAATCGTAAAGGAAATAGGAATTCATAATAAGATCTTCAACCTGGATTTTAGGATATTATATCAGGTAACCATATTGTATAAAATAGTGCGTTATCATTCTGTAATCTCTATGTCGTACAAATTGGCATCTAGTTGTAAATTTTGATTCAAATTAATTAAAATATAAATAAGACATTTGAAAGCTGTAAAGCATTAAAATGTATGTAATATAATTCTGGTAATGTAAATTTGCAGCACGTTCTATTCTGATCAATTTCAGGGGTCTGTAAGAATTCTCGTAAAAGCATGACATGCGGTTAGCCAAAATATGTATAAAATATATTCTCTTATGAAATGTATGAACGTGTTTTAATTGAATATGCAAATGATGATGATTTTACATACACCTAAGCTTTTGTCATTTTCATAAAGTTTGACAGATAGAGTCGTGTTATTTCACAGGTATAAAACCTCAAATGTCTACATTAACGCTCAGTTGTGAATTATCATTGACTGGAGCTGGTCTCCAGAAAATAACAGAGAGAAGCAACATCCGAGTCCATTATCCACACTGAGGAGTTTAAACAGTGAACTTAAATTTTCACAATGAAGCCTCTGTTCTTGTTGCTTGCTTTGATGGCTTTTATCGCCACTGGATATTGTGCCAGTAAGTCTTTATGCTTAAGAAAAACCTACATGAACATTTCAGTTTATATGTTTTTTATATGTATATGACGAAATTATTTTTCCCGTTTCACTTTTCAATAAAACTTATCTGTAAAATAAACTACATTTTAATATATCTTGACTTAAGTAAAATTTTCTTATTTCTGGCTTGGTAACTGTCGACTGACATTTAAAATTTTGGAAATTTCTGAATTTTGAGTTAATTGGTATTTTAAAAAGAATTGTAGTATTTGAATCATTTTACCACAGTTTAACTAGCAATGCTCTTGAGAACGACCTTGTTTATTCTTTTCTTTATGCAACAAATTAATCATCTAAAAATTCCTCTGTCACCAGTCGAAAAGAATCCGGATACCACGCCTGCAGTGTAATTGCATATAATCAAATTGTGATACATTAATTCGGTACTAAATTTAAACACTTTTCATTTAGGTATCGGCGTTCACGACGACGAACCAGAAAACAATTCAGAATTGGAGGATAATAACGACGAACAAGAAAATGAAAAGGATGAAAATCAATCTGGAAATGATGAAGAAGGGAATGGGGATGAACAAAAGAGTGTTGAGGGAAAAGACGATTCCAAGGAGGACGATGATAAAAATCAAGACGTAATAAAGCCTGAAAGTCAAGAAAATGAACAGGATGATGAGAATGACAAAACTGACGACAAAAGTGTACAGTCAGGAGAAGTTCCACTCATAACCGACGATAAAAAACAGAGTGAAGAAGATATTCAGGTCGGTTCTACTAATGACGATAGAGAGGATGATATCACAGACAGTGGCATTAAAGATGATGAAAATGATGGTGAAAACAAAATCAATGCCAACTATATTGGAGAAAACAACGACAACAGTAAAGAAGACGCTGACAATGGAGATATAGTTGCCATTGTATCCGACAACGTTAATAGCGGTATTGATGATGGAACTGAAGCCAATAAAAGTCAGATTGACGAAGAAAACAATAGCATCGACAATGTAATTGATGATGTCAGCTCAGCCGATGAATTAACAAACCAATCAGACGAAAGTAAGGCTGAAGAGAATGACAATAAAAATAGTGAAGAAAATAAGAGCAAGGAAAACATCTCTTCCGACATTGCCAGTACAAATGATGACAACAGTGCCGAAAGTGATACTGAAAGAAATTCCAAAGAGGTACAAAACAGTAAAACTGACGACAATGAATCAGGTGACAGCACAGCTGATGAAGAAAACAATAGCAAAGCAGACAGTGATCAAAAGGATGACAGTACAACTACCGATGAAGAAAACAAAGATGATACCGATGTCGTCAGTAGGGAGGATGTTAATGACAGTAAAGAAGATGAAAAGAAGAGCGTTGAAGACGGTGACGATAAAAATGTTAGTTTGATTGATGATGAAAACAGTAGCAATGTTGAAGGCAATGAAAGTGGCAAAGGTCAATCTGAGCAAGACAGCAAAGATACTGATGACAATAAAAGTAATGATGAAATTGACAGTATGCCTGACGATGTAGACGATGATATTAGCAATAATGTTGATAAAAACAAAAGTAATCTGGAGAATGATAGTCAAAATAATGATGAAGAAAGCACAAGCAAAACTGAGGATGAAATTGAGACAAACAGCATGGCTGATAGTCAAGATACTGACGAAGAAAACAAAAGCAAAATTGATGATCAAATAAACAGCATGGCTGACAGCGCAGAAAATGATGAAGAAAACCTGAGCATAATTGACGGTGATGATGAAACAAGCAAAAGGGCTGACAGTCATGAAGAAGAAAACGACAGCAAAATAAATGATAAAAACAGTAGAGCTCACGATCAAAGTAACAGCAATGAGAACGGAGAGGAATCCAATGAGAGCAACAATGAAAATAATAGTTTGCCTGACGTTGAGGATGCGAGTGAGGTTGAGGACGAAAATAAAAGCATCGCTGATACTGAAGAAAAAGATGATAGTAAAACTGTCGATGGAAACAAAAGCCAAGCAAACACCGATGATGAAAACGAAAGCAAGGTAAACAGCGATGAAGATGATGATATTAACAGCGATAACAACAAAAGCAAAGCCAACAGCGATGAAAACAAAACTGAAGATGGAGACGATAATAAGACTGAGAGTAAAGTTGTAGACGAAAACAAGAGTTCTGCCGATGCCGATGAAGATAATAGTAAAGCTGACAATGAAAACAAAAACAGTGCTGACGCTGACGATAATAATGATAGTAAAGCTGAAAGCGAAATTGTAGACGAAAACAAAAGTTCTGCTGATTCCAACGAAGACAATAGTAAAGCCGACAATGAAAACAAAAACAGTGCTGACGGCGACGATGATAATGATAGTAAAGCAGAGAGTGAAGATGTAGACGAAAACAAGAGTTCTGCTGATGCCGACGAAGACAATAGTAAAGCCGATAATGAAAACAAAAGCACTGCTGACGGCGACGATAATAATGATAGTAAAGCTGAAAATAACAAATCTGACGGTGATGAGAGCAGAACTGATGACGAAAATAAAAGCAAAGTTGATGACATTAATGACAGTCAAATCGATGAAAACAATGAGGCAAACTCTAAGAACGTAGCTTCAGGTGAACAGGACAGTAACGAAGAGGATAAACGCATAAATGATAGCAACGATACTGATAACAGTAAAGCAGATGAGGAGAACAGCAGCAAAGGTGTTGAGGATGATGCCGAAAACAGTAGAGGTGTTGACGAAAATAATAGTCAACCGGAAGTCGATAGCACGAGCGAAGTGGATAGCAAAGATATTGATGACGAAACATTAAGCACGGATGGCGATGGAGAGGAAAGTAAAGCTGATGATAAAAGTAATGAGGTTGATGAGAAGGAAATTGATGACAGTAAAGAAGTTGATAAAAGCAACAGCAAAGCTGAAGATGATAATGCAAGTAATGATGAGAAAAGCAACGATGATAATTCTAATGAAAGTAAAACTGACGAAACAGAAACCGACGATCAGAATGACAGCAAAGAAGATGCTGTAGATAATAAAAACAATAGTGAGAGTGACAAAAGTGATCCTGCAGACGAAAATGATGACGCAGTTGATGCGATTAGCGAAAGAAAGGATGAAATTGATAAAGTTGATTATTCAGATGAAAAAGAAATCGACAAAAAAGGTAAAGATCATAAGAGTGAAGAGGACTATGATTACGCGGTGGAGGTGAAGAATGATAATTCGGTGCAGGTGATAGAAGGGGTTGATTACGATGACTATGACTACTGATCCCTTCACCAGAAAAAAATACTTCCCTAAGTAAGTACACATTAATAAAAAAAATAATAAAATCATTCAAACGTAGAACTACCCACTATTCTATCCTTCGCAACTTGAATATGAATTTTAAAACGCAAGGCCCTTGTAGTATTTCATTTTATTTTTTTTTTCCAGATTTCTGAAAATCCAAAGAATTTCAGTCCCAAACTTACTACCTTTGAAATTACAAGAGCGTGGAAGTGGAAAATCGTGACTCGGGGGATACAAAATGTTTCATGTGAGCTGTGAAGCTGCTGGCGGCGACACTGGTCAACCACTTACCATTTGCCAATTCCCCTTCTTTTCCGTTGAGACAATCCAAGCAAATGCTCAATATTTCTGTGGTTATCGTCTTGGTGATATGTGTGTTTAACTTATAACGCTGTGATATATTTCATTGTAAATGTTCATTATTTAAGTCAAAGTAAAGTTATTTAAAATTGTTGCCTTGTAATCTTCAGGATGCATGAGAAAAAAAAAATAATGTAGGTGATACACAGCTCCGCGCTCTTTTTAAGCTCACATGATTTTTCGCACAAATATAGGTCACATTCTTCTAGTAATAAAACTGAACATTATCGAAGCAAGAGCATATCAAAATCTTGACAACTACAATGTTTTAATTATTTTTAAGCTGGTGATATTTAATCAAAGTAAAGTTATAAATAACTTTAAAAAAATTATTTTGTTGCCTTCCTATATAATTTTGTACAATAACAATGTGACGTTAAAGCCATATATGGCGTAACTGATCAAAAAATATATTTCTGAAAAATACAAAATTAAATAAAGAAATATAGTTAATACATTAGAATTAAAGCTTTTCATACAATTCTAAACACGGAGAACACCTCGTTTCATCTAATAATACGATTTTATCTTCTCTGTTATGTGTTATTTAACTCTTTTGTATTTTCTTCCGAGTCGGAGGGGGAGAATCCAAATTAAATTGTGATATCTTTATAACGCAATTGACTTAGATTTTGTAATTTACGGAAAAGTTCTATCTTTATATAAAGTAATGATACAAATAATAAGTTCTTATAATTTTAGTCTGATAATTTTCATTGTACATACGCCATATATGGCTTTTATTAATGCGAAAAACCATGTGAGCTTAAATAGTGCGCGGAGCTGTATATAGTTGACTGTAATTCTCTTCCGTACCACGTTCACTTTTTTAAACTCAAACAAGTAGGGGGGGGGGGGGGGGGGCAGGCATCAAAAATCAGCCTTAGATGCATTCTTGAAAATTTTGTGGATACTGCTACTTTGCAGAAATGCACAAAATTAGATCCAAATCTAGGTGGCGCATTGCCCGGTTTCAAAAAGGTATGAAAGCTGTTGACTCAATCCACATTTATAATTTCTACAATTTTAAGGACTTTACAAAAAAATCTTGATCTATGTATAAAATGTTATAAACAATTCTTAAGATTTTGAAATTAATATTCTCTTTGAAATATATGAATCGTAGATCAAGGAAGGCACTTGCCATTTCTGTTACTGATCAAGAAAATGATACTAGTTTTCAAAACAATAGAAATGTTCAAGTAAATTTTTAAAAGTACTTATATTATTCTTTTCCCGTTACTTTGATTTTATTAGTTGAATAAAACCAAGTTAATCAGACATTTTCTGTATAACATACTTAAACCACTCCTTTTCAAATATTTTGACAGAAAGAGGTAAAGCTAAATAAAAACGTATACTTTCAAGAAAATCAGGATGGTATTTTACCTTTTTATTATTCCAAGGGCTTTGAAAATAGAATATGAATTACGAAATTTTATTTTTCGTTAAAAAAAATTCGAATTTAACTTAATTCTGTTAAGAAGCTGTTTGTCATTTTTTTTTGGGGGGGGGGGGGGTAAATAACAATGTAATGTCAAAAAATTAATAAAGATGTTTACGGAACTGGAACCTGTTCTAACTGGGAATTATAAAAGAGACATTATTCATGTTCTTGTTATGGACGCTACACCCAGCCTTAACAACTAAATAAAAATTTTAATTATGATATTAGTGTGAAAAACGTATTATGATTGCCGAGACACGAACGAATATTAATGCCTCTTTCACTCATGCCCTACCTATCTAAGATATCACAAGCTGATTACAAATATTCTATAAATGTTTAATTTAATTCAAAGCTGTCAGTTACTTAGATCATCTTTTTATTGCGTACAACATTAAAAGAAATTCCATTAATTTTTAATTCTATATATATTTAACTTTTTCTATGAATAAATTGACAAACTCCTAAGAAAAACGGCGCCCGATTTAATGAAAGGGTTATATAAAGCATTCAAGGTGAAGAAACAAGTACCTAGTATAGTGTGTTGTTTTCATTTCGATTGAATTTAATATTCAAATTTAAATATTTTCACAATTATGAAGTGATGCAAGAAATCCTTAAAATTTTCAAGAATTAAAAAAAAACAACAGTATACACCTTCTATTACTAGTCCCAAAATATTTCAGAATGGATAACCGGATTGTAGCTTTTATTACCAACATTTATTTATGGCGACTTTTACAAATTGATATTTCTTTTCCTTGGCCATTAAAATGAACTTTTTTAAATGCATGTACTGTTATTGTAATCTATTTGTATATTTTTTTTCGAGGGTCCAGCATCTGGATATATATACTGTCTTATAAATTAATCAATTTTGCAAGTAAACTCCGAAAGGGGTGCACCAGAGTTCTTACTTGTTTTGATTGTTTTGAACATATTTTATTGTATAATTCATACAATGGGATTGGCAACAAGTTCTTGCAACTTAAAAAACCTCTCCCTGTAATATATACAATAATTAAATTAGTGATTGCCAAAATAACAATTTAAGGTGTAAAGTTATACATATACATGATAAATACAAAATATTTTAAGTTTATACAAAATATTTCAAGTTAAGACACTTACTAAAGATTCAGAGTTCTTAAAATTTGTAGATCTATAATGATACATGTAAATGGTTACAATTATAGTTATTTGGAAAAAAAATAAAAAATAAATAATAAACATGTTCACAAGTAAAATTCTCGCAACATAAACAAACAAAGTTGTACAGATATGATTAAATGACAAAGAAACAGAAGAAAATCGGATCAAAATCTACCTGAATCACGAATGAACCTTTGGACACATTGAAATATTTTGTTATTCACATCAACTGACAACGAATCATTTCCAAATAATAAGAGATGGGAGTTGACTATTGCCAAGTGATTATATTGTAAAATATTGTTTAAGAGGCAATTTCTTGGCCGGTCATATTTTTTACATACAAAAAAGAAATGGTATACATCTTCAATTTGTCCACATGAACAGTTGGGAGAGTCAATTATATTTCTTCGATAAAGATCATTATTAAGCATACTACTGTGCCTTAATTTTGTGTGAATTATATTTAAATAGCGTTTCCCATATTGAAAAATACGAAGGTGGCTTTGAGGGATGTGAACATATTCTTGTTTTAAATTTACTAATAGAGGTTGTGTCTCTCACGTCTTTAGAAAGGGAATTCCAGGTATTAATTGCAGAGGGTACAAAAGATTTTTTAAAAGTTTCAAGTCTACATTTGGGAATAGAGTAATCTTCTGTGTTTCTTGTATTATATGTAGATTCAATTCTGCGAGTTTTTGGAAATATTTGTTTGAGATAATCGGGTACAATATTGTTGTGTACTTTAAACATAGTGGTTAATTTAGCTGTTCTTCTTCTTGTAATTAGGGGTTCCAATCCTGTCTCTGAATAGAGAATTTCTCTAGAAATAAAAATCGGGAGACCAGTGATGGTTCTTGCTGCAGCAAGCTGGACTTTCTCTAGTTTTTCTATATCGTAAAGTGTACAGCCGTCCCAGACAACTGAGGCATATTCGAGATGGGGCCTGACAAAAGTTGTATACATTTTTAAAAGAGTGTTTCGTCCAAGAGTGAATTTGAGCTTTTTCAAAAGGCCAAGCTTTTTATATGCAGTATTTACAACGCTATCAATGTATACAGACCAGCTTAAATCTTGTGAAAAAAGTAAACCAAGATGCTTATGTGAGGATTCAAATTCTGACACAGGAGTTCTTACTCCTCTAACAATAAACTATATACATGTACAAGATGATGTCCGTAAGCAATATTTAGTCTTCTATAAACAGCCATGAAATAGCATAAACGTGATTATGGTGGCGTTTCCGGTTGGCGGATCTAAGCTACTGGCAAATTTTAATGAAACTTCAACAAGCAGTCGTTTATTTATTTCATACAATATGTCATCACTGAATTATCAAAACTTGATTTAAATGATATAAAAGAAATTAAATAAGTTGTTATAACCGATTAAAAAGGGAAAAGTGCAAATTATTTTCGTCAATCACCGATCTCAATATTGACGGAAGCTTTTAGAACATCATATTAAATCGAGCCCGATGTTTAAAAGAAAAACAAGGGAAAATAGCTTCATGAACATAAAAAAACATTTGTGTCACTGGTCATTAATATAATGGTAAATCATAACACCATGAGTCGTGAATATATTCATATATCGAAAGAACATTAACATATATGTACATGTAGTATATGTATGCGTAAAATGTCCACATTCGCTGCTTTTATCCTTCACGGAAATAAAATAGAGCATATGAGGTAAAAAATCCAATATTGTATAACATGTTTCACATAAACATCAAATAAAGAATTCTTTATTTTTAAAGTTTTCACAAAAAGAGTTGGGGTGATGTACATCTACTTGAATTTGCGGGATTTTGAGCAAAATATTTCTTCATTTTATAAAAATTACAATACATTTTCTGTCGGAAATAGTAACTATAAATTAAATTTCTCGCGCTTGCGCGGGATTTCATCTACCTTTAAATAAATAAATGTGGTGAAAAATTAAAATAAATGCAAAAAGGAGTGCTTTGATTTTAAGAATACAATTGATAAAAAAAATGCATTAAAAAAATTATCCTTGTGTGAGTTTGACAGTGCTTTTGTTACCTATCGATCACTTTGAACAGGGTGATTGACACGATATCACCGATATATAGGCAAAAACCACCGGTACTATTAATCCTTGAATAATTAATGATTAATTTATTAATGCAAACTGGGATCTGTAGAAGAGAAATTTTGATTAATGATTATATACACCAATAAATCACCACATTATAATTTTAATGGCGTGTAATTATAATTTATTAAGTTAAAATAGCTTGTTTGTATAATTTACGTGGTCAGTATTTTAAGAATTGAATACTGAAATATACGAGTTACCAACAAACAATAAATAATTTATTTACAAGCCCTCCAACAAGCGCCTCGCAAATATTTGTAAATTTATAACCATCCCACGCTTACCAGGTAATTAAAAAAAATGTTGATGCTTTGTTTATTACAGGTATTTAATTTACTTAAGTTATTTCATTACATAAACATATAGGGG